ACCATTAGTTTCTCCCCGTAATAAAACTCGTATTCTAGTTAAGAAAGTTTATAATAATATTTTAATAGGACTAAATAAGGTTTATGTTTGAACATTGAAAGGAGTTAAAGATACTCAGTTGTGTTTTACTCGTGTCACAACAATACAAAACATACCTTAGATAGAAATTATGCGCAAATTATACCGTGGGATCGGCCCACCTTGCGCATGGTGTGCCGATCCCCATATGACATCGTTTACAATAAAAAAGAGCTGAGCGTCGTTTTTTATTTCCCATTCCGTTCCACTTCCAGGTGAGCTGCGAACTCTTCCTCCATCCGTTCAATCTTCAGGGACCTTGAAGCTCCGCTCAAACCTTAGCACACAAATAAACATTGAAATTATGTGGTCCAATTTCCACCTAAACATGACCACATAGAGGGAAAGTTAGTTTGCAATTGGAAAGCAGAGTAATTGTGGGAAGCCAAGCGGCAGCTTTCAGCCCCTTCTATTTCCGTTGCGTCCAATCATTCCGTTCAGCGGCGCTACCGACTAAACTTCTTATCCTTCTTGTCTTCATTTTTACGATCTCTAGGGAGTTGCCCGTTCAAACCGCTGGGAGTTCCTTGACCCAATTTCCACTTCTGAGAAAGATACGGATTGCAGGGAGATGAAAGGTTTGTGAAATAGAAGATCAAATCTATCTGGGAGTGGATCAGTGGAAGATTGCAATTGCCCATTCTAAATATCAAGCTTTGTTTTTGATAAATATCAATCTTATATCCTCACTTGCATTCAATAATACATTGAGTTACATCTTTTTATAAGCGAGTTACATTTTTTAATACGCAAGTTACATTTACTATATACATGAGTTACATAACTAATAACATGAGTTACACCAAAAAATCAACCCATACTATTAAAACAAAAAAAAAATTTAAATCATTTTTATGATCATGATATTAAAAACAAAACATATTCATGATTTACGAAAAGTAATTGTGCAACAAGACTCTATTTTTCATTGTTTACATTGAAATCAATGTTTTATTTCTTAAACTATGTATTTGACAAGTTACATTTCGACTGGACTTGAGTTACATAAATCAATAACGTGAGTTACATTTCTTTACACGTGAGTTACATCACTCTGCTGTTGGGACATGGAAAAAACGAAAAAAAAAATGTTATTGTTCACGCGCGTAAACAGTAACACGCGAATTTGTTTTGGGAGCACCATGATCACCGTGGGTTGCTCCCACTGTATAACAACTCGACATTATGTAATTAAATGGTAAACGACACAATTGGCAATCAACTAAGGGCTTGTTTGCAACCAATTAAAAAAAGTGATTTTGGCTTTTTTTTTAAGAAAAAAGCACTTAATTTTCCAAACACTACCAACTTTTACTTCCTCGATTTTCGTGTAGAATCTACTTTTTACTTTTTCTATTACACAAAAAGTACTTATTTTACTAAACACTACCAACTTTTACTACTAATCAGTTTTTCCCAAAAAGTACTTTTATTTAAGCACAAGTGGTTGCAAACAGAGCCTAAAGTGTGCAATTAAACTTTAGAGAAGTACAACATATGTATTAAATATCATCGTATTGTTTTAATTTACTTTCATTTTCCATTATTACATCTTTTCAATTTTCAATAAAAGAATGATATGATTAATGACTTGATGTTACACATTTCTTTTTTAAAATAACTCTGGTTGTCAGTTTCTTAGTTTTAAAGTTTCATGCATGTGAATATGTGATAAGGAGTAGATCAGATGCATATAACGAGCTAAGTAGTACGCTGTACGGAGTAATAAATTACTCTGCATCACATACGAACTATATACCAGTTTATTTTCTAACTGTACATTAGTTTTGGTGGTGGTGGGGTCCAACAAAGCTGTTGACACGGCTTATTAAACAAAACATTCTTTTCTTCCTCCACCAATGTAGAAGTACCCAAGTACGATAGAAAATCTAAAAAGACACAGAAAGAGAGATCATGAAATACTCCCCACATTGGTGCCTTTCTTTAGAAGTCAGTATTCTCTCAAATAAGAATCTGGTTGCTTGTGAGTTGAGTTTGATCAGATTTTTCTTCATTATGAAACCAAACTGGCACTAGAGGTCATCATTTTCAGATGCTCATGATCTCATGCCTAAAGATAGTGAAGTATCACTAAGTGCATTTGTAGCAATCTAGAAGTTGAACAAGTTGATTTCCAAAACCAAATAAACTACCGGGCAACACCAAAACAGCCCCAAAGCCCAGAAGCTATGCGTTTAAAAATGCAGCAAGCTAATTATCCCGACCCCCAAGATGATGACTTTGCGCTCAAGGGCATGAATCCACAGATTGGAGGAAGAGGGTGGATGGACAACAAAAGATACACCACCAGCACGCACGATCTTGTTGAGCAGATGTTTTACCTCTATGTCAGAGTTGTTAAAGCCAAGAATCTTGCCAGCGCTGAACCTTGTTATGTGGAATTGAAGCTGTGGAACTACATAGGAAAGACTAGGGACGCCAATAACCAAGAATGGACACAGGTATTTGCATTCTCTAGAGACATCCTCAAATCATCAGTTCTTGAAGTTCTAGTTAAGGAAAAAGGCATGGAAAAAAGTCCCAATTACGTCGGAAAAGTCGAGTTTGACTTGAACGAGATCCCAACAAGAGTCCCACCAAACAGCCCCCTGGCTCCTCAATGGTACAACCTAAAGGACCCTTATGGTGAACTCTGGGGAGGCATCATCATGCTTGCAGTTTGGATGGGGACACAAGCTGATGAAGCCTTCTCAGAAGCATGGCATTCAGATGCTGCACAAGTTAATGGGGAAGGAGTGGTCAGTGTCAGGTCCAAAGTTTACGTCTCTCCTAAGCTTTGGTATCTGAGGGTAAGAGTAATTGAAGTGCAAGACATCATTGTGAAGAGCAGAAACCGTGTCCCTCAACTCCGTGTGAAAGGGCAAGTTGGAAACCAGCAGGTACTAAGAACTACCATATCCCGTGTTGAAAATCCACCAACATGGAACGAAGATCTGGTGTTTGTAGTAGCAGAGCCATTCGAGGAGGAGTTGGTCCTTACTATTGAGGACCAAATCAGTGGGACTATGAAAGATGAGGCACTTGGAATCATAGCTCTGCCTCTGTCCACATTTGAGAAGAGGATCGACCACCGACCTGTCCAATCTCGATGGTTCAATCTCAAGCACTTTGATTGTGAATCCTTGGAAGGAGATGGGAAAAAAGAGCCAAAGTTCTCGGCTAAAGTGCACCTAAGGATCTGTCTTGAAGGCGGGTACCATGTACTAGACGAATCAACGATGTATGTGAGTGATCAAAGGCCAACTGCCCGACAGCTTTGGAACCCACCTGTTGGGATATTGGAAGTTGGGATACTAGGGGCTCAAAAGCTTCTTCCAATGAAGATGGAGGTATTAGGAATTGTTATTAGTTACGTCCTATGTCTTTATATGCAGTTTTGTATTCCTATTTGGGAAGTTTTATAATATTTGCTCCACTTTCCTATTTTGACAAATATATCATATCAATATACACAAATATCACATACTTTTTCACTAGTTACTTTTTATTAGGTACATTTTCCATTTTTTCTACTTTTTCACCTACTCTCCTACTACTAACTACAGCTACACATCTCTTTATAAAATCAGTGAAAGAAACTACTACAGCGTCTAAAAAACCAGAGTCCGGAGGGGGGTATTAGTTTTCAATATTTCCTAGAAACGTGTTGTTGATATTATCTCTTAAGGTGGAGACTTTACTAGTTTATTTTCAACACCAACTCTCATGACTACTCTATAGTCTATATCTATGAGTCCCTTCTCAGGAGCCCATGTATGTATACATTCATGTACCCAGACTACCAAATAAGGAAATAAGCTCACATGGAAGTATGGTGAACCGTGGAACCCATGGAACTCACATGAAACCCATATGGGATCCCATAATATATTTTCAAATTCACGAATGTGGTCACATTAAAATATGCTCACATGGCTCTATATGGTTTCTCCTACTTTACCCTCTCACTAATAAAAAAACATTTGCATTTACTGAAGGAAGGACGTGGACGCACAGATGCATATTGTGTAGCCAGGTATGGTCAGAAATGGGTAAGAACCAGAACCAATCTTGACACATTTAACCCCAGATGGAATGAGCAGTACACTTGGGAAGTCTACGATCCTTGCACAGTTATAACACTAGGAGTCTTCGACAACTGCCATTTGGGAGGAACAGGAAAGGCAACAGCGGTACGAGACTCTAGGATTGGCAAGGTGAGGATAAGGTTGTCCACTCTAGAATCCCACAGAATTTACACCCACTCTTACCCACTCCTTGTACTTCATCCCTCTGGGGTGAAGAAAATGGGAGAGCTCCATTTGGCAATGAGATTTAGAAGCCTCTCTTTAGCAAATATGATCTCGGTATACGGACGCTCTTTGCTACCCAAAATGCATTACCTCCACCCCATTAAATTCACCCAGCTAGACACCTTGAAACACTACGCTATGAACATTGTGGCATCAAGACTAGCCAGAGCTGAACCTCCGCTGAGAAAAGAAGTAGTTGAGTATATGTTGGACGTTGGGTCCCACTTGTGGAGTATAAGAAAAAGCAAGACTAACTATTTAAGAATCATGTCCCTTGTCTCGGGCATACTCTCATTAAATAAATGGTTCACTGACGTATGCCAATGGAGAAACACGGTCACCACGGTTTTGGTTCACATCCTCTTCCTCATCTTGGTTTGGTGTCCGGAGTTGATACTCCCCACACTTTTCATCTACATGTTCTTTATAGGACTATGGAACTACAGGCTCAGGCCGAGATACCCTCCACATATGGACACTAGACTTTCATGTACAGATGTAGTGAGTGCGGATGAGCTCGATGAGGAGTTCGACACGTTCCCTACCACAAGGGAACAGGAAGTGGTCCGGATGAGGTATGACCGGATGCGGAGTTTGGGAGGGAGGGTTCAGGTGATGGTGGGAGACATAGCAACACAGGGGGAGAGGATTCAGTCGGTATTGACTTGGAGAGACCCAAGAGCAACCAGTCTGTTTATTGTGTTCTGTCTCTTTGCTGCGGTTGTGCTGTATGCAACTCCTTTCAGAGCTGTTGCTTTAGTTTCAGGCCTTTACATCCTCAGACCTCCCAGGTTTCGCAGCAACTTGCCAGGTGTTGCTAGTAACTTCTTCAAGCGCTTGCCAGCTCGGACAGATTGCCTCCTGTAAAAATAAGATTCACAAATCATCAAAGAATCATATGATCCTCCAGCTTAAGTACTAATGTACTACTAATCTAGTAGAAGCACTTCGTATAAATTTCATTAAAGCATTTTGCCGAGCACCTAACTTGCAGGTGTTGCTAGTTACTTTTTCAAGCGCTAGCCAGCTCGGACAAATTGCATCCTACAAAAATTAAAATCATACATGATCACATAAACATATGATCTTCAGTCTTCTTCAACCTGAACTCCTGAGGTATTAATGTATTACGGAGTATTGTACTGGCCGACGGTGGGGGTGCCGGGGTGGTCACTAGCGCAGGTCATCAGGCGGTGGTCACTGGAGCTGGTCAGCTGGCGGCAGTGGAGGAGTGGGGAGGGCAAATGTTTGCATTTGCATTTACTTCAAATTAATGATATGGATGGTTGGCTTCTAATTAAATTGAGTTAAATGGAACATTATTAGAACTAATGGCATGAATGGATGGCTTCTAAATAAAGTAGTTAATCATATATCTGAAGTTAGGATATGCATGTATGCATGAATTCTTATTGTAGAAGTAATCAAGTTTATAAACTGAAATATTTTTATAACTCCAAATTTTAACCAATCTTATTTTTATGAAATATAAAGGGTTGTTTACTTTTTTCCTATTATGTCCTGTCTGGATTAAGTAATATCTGTATATTAAGTTGTTTTATTTTGTGTGCTGAATAAAGATGTTTTTACCTGGACTGTAATTTGCTGGTCTGGTCTGATCTGGTCTGGTCTGGTCTGAACTGGTCTGGCAAGGTCTGGTTTCTTTGTATTTTTATAACTATCCAAGTCTGGTCTGGTCTGAGGCAAATTACAGTCCAAGTAAAAACATCCTAAATCATTTGAATAGAGTAAATTAATCAATTTAATATTATTATTAAGTAATATTGACAATGAATAATGTCATTGATTAACATATATATACTCTATATATTAGGTATATAAAACTGAATGAATAGACGTCTTAATGACCATTTTAATGAGAAGAAGTGCATTTTCACAATCTAATGATTAAGTCAGTTTTTTACCGAATAAATAAGCTGTGTTTTCAGTTACGTTGTACGTAAACACGACTTAATAATTGAACGATTAAATCGTCGTTCTCATTAAGTCCATTAAGTTATAATTAAGTAATAAATGGCCCCTAAATTAAGTAAACTAAACTAATTTATTTAAACAAATAAATTCTATGAGGCCTACTAGTCAGTATTCAAATGCCAAACTATCTCCTGAGACAAATGAGTTGTTTTCATAGGTCTGTTTTACCAAAAGCTTTGATGTTCATATTTTTTGTACAAATGAATTACTTAGGTCGGACCCTCTGATTTTAGGAAATAAAAAAGACTTCAAATTAATGGAAACTAATATTCCTCAGGTTGTATATGGTAACTACATTTTGTACACATTTACCAAGCTTTTACTCTGTGTTAGCTTTAATTTGATCATACAAACAAAAATTTGAAAAATCAATTCCGTTTAGCTACAATAAGTTGTTGAAGGTTTATTCCGCAAAATAACGACAGAATAGTTCGTTCCAGATTATAACTAAAGTATAACAAAAGTTTGGTTCAGTCTATTAGAAGTGCATATAAATTATTGAATAATGAGGAGATATTGGTATAATAAGGAAAATAGAAAGAAACTAGAAATACTAAAATGGAAAAATAGAAACATTAAGATTTTTAGAATTAAGATAGCATAAAATAAATAAATAAAATTTTAATCATTATTTACTTTTTGATAATAGTGTAATTATGAATAAAGGAAAATAATACAAAATCAAATATTGGTAACACAACTAGGAAAAACAAATTCGAAAAAGGAAACATAATTAGTGGAAATAAATCAAAAAATGAATAGAAATATTTTGTTTAACTCCGGTACATTTATATAATTTTTGTAATTGTTTATACATGTTTAAAAATATTTAGTTTTGAAATTTATAAAAATATTTTTACATCTTCAAAAAATTGAAAGTTGATAGTTGGGATTAATAAAAAAGATCAACTATACTTGGGATTATTTAAAGCTTACACACAGTTCACATTTAAAAATGACCAGCTATACCAGGTAGTAACAGGTTAGGGACCATTTTCGAAGAATGATCTCTATAGTTGGAACCACCGGACCACCCAGGAATAATCAATAGTTGAGATTATTAATGTCAGATCGTCAATAGTTGAGATTATTTTTTTCAATTTTTCCAATTATAATTATATAAATTGGAGTGGCGGTACTTTATGCTCTGTTTGGATAAGGTGAACTAAAATAAACCAAGTGCAATAAAGTAAACCTAAAGTGAACCTAGGTTCATGCGTAAAATAGCTTTTGGAAATAAATAAGGTGAACCTAGGTTAATGTTATAAATGTTGTTTGAGTGAAGATACTCTAGCTTATTTTATATTGAACAGAAACTTAACCTCCGAAACCCACCACTTCGGAGCTTCTTTAATTTGACGTGTTTCCAGATTCTAAGGGGCTGTGTAATGTTAAGTCATAATCTAGGTTCTTGTTGCAAAAACATAAACAAACGAGGTTAACTAAAAACTGAAATTGCAATAACCTAAATCAACCCTCAAACAAACATGCCATTAATGAATATGCTTTACCGGTGATCAATTTGTATTGCGAATTGGGCAGTGTATTGGTATGAGTATTATTTATTCGGATATTTCCAATTTCGAGTACTCTGTATAAAGACGCAATACAGTAGTAGTATAGAAGAGACATACTCTGGGAAATGGACTCCATTAACAGCTTCTATTGGTGTTAAACACACGTACACAGTAAGCAAGGGCGTAGCTAGGGGAGGACCAGCCCTAGCCCAGTGCTATAATTCTAAGGTATATGAACAATAAAGCAAAAGAGAAGAGTAATTTTGGTGAATTCTATTCTCAGTGCATCGAGCCTTCTTGGCCGAAATAAATAATAAGAGTTTACAAGATTAGCTCCTATAATTTTGGAGTAGATTTAGAAACAAATAAGGAGACAATCATTATAATAATAATGCTACCAAAAATAATAAACTATGGCCCGTATGGTCTGTAATACTCCCCTCAAGTTGGAGCATGAGGATTTAAAATGCCCAACTTACAAAGAAGGAAATGAAACTGAGATTTTCCAAGAGCTTTAGTGAAGATGTCCGCGAGCTGTACAGTGGTGGGAACATAGGCAGGAGCAATAAGCCCCTCCTGAATAACATTGCGGACGAAGTGACAATCAACTTCAATGTGCTTTGTGCGTTCATGGAATACTGGATTGTGTGCAATAAGAATAGCCGATTGACTATCACAATGAAGGGGAATAACACCCTTATGATTGATACCAAGGCTGAGAAGCAATGCCTTTAACCACTTTAGTTCACTCGTTGCAGCTGCCATAGAGCGGTATTCCGCTTCAGCAGATGAGCGAGAAACCACCGTCTGCTTCTTGGTTTTCCAAGAAATAGGAGAGTGACCAAGAAAAACAATCCAGCCAGAAATGGACTTGCGAGTAAGAGGGCATGCCGCCCAATCTGAATCACACCAACTGGTGAGGGAAAGGTCACTATTTGCCTGAAGTAAAATGCCTTGCCCAGGAGAGACCATTAGGTAGCGAACCACATGGAGAGCAGCATCCCAGTGTTCTTGGCGAGGACTCTTTAAAAATTGAGACAATATATGTACTGAATAGGCTAAATCCGGACGTGTCACAACCAGATAAACAAGACGTCCAATGAGACGTCGATATGGTTCTGGATTATTTAAAAGAGGTCCATCGGCTTGAACAAGATGATGATTTTGTTCAATAGGAACGTTAGCTGGCCGAGCTCCAAGCAAACCAGTCTCAGTAATAATATCAAGAGCATATTTTCGTTGGGTAAGAAATAGGCTCGAGGGACTCCGAGCAACCTCAATACCCAGAAAATATTTGAGAGAGCCCAAATCCTTCATATGAAAGCAATCACTCAGATATTTTTTGAACGCAGAAATAGCTTCAGAATCATTCCTAGATATGATAACTTGATAAGATCATCAACGTAAACAAGAACGTTCAGTTGTGTGTCACCACGAGTGCGTGTGAAAAGAGAATAATCCGCACAGGATTGTAGAAATCCATAGCCCTTGAGAGCGGTAACCAATTTGGTAAACTAACATTTAGGTCCCTGTTTTAATCCATAAAGGGATTTACGAAGTCGGCAAACCAGAGAAGAATCAGGTACGTGGAAACCTGGGGGAGGAGTCATATATACCTCCCCATCCAGATCACCATGAAGAAAAGCATTGTGTACATCCATTTGATGCAACTCCTAATTTTTCGATGCAGCAACCGCTAAGAATGCACGAACAGTTACCATCTTGGCAACTGGTGCAAATGTCTCATTATAATCAAGGCCCGCAACCTGACGATTGCCGAAGATGACAAGACGAGCTTTAAGACGCTCAATACCACCATCAGAGTTGTATTTAATTTTGTACACCCACCGACACCCTAAGGCTTTCTTGCCCGAAGAAAGTGGTTCCAGTGCCCACGTTCTCTAATCTTCCAACGCCTTAATTTCAGAGGCCATAGCCGCCTTCCATCCGTCATCTAGCACAACTTCTTTATATGTGGATGGCTCTTTCCCTGCACTTACTACAACTAGAAAAGCACGATATCGAATAGAAAAATTTTCACAAGAAACATAGTGAGCTATAGGAAACGGCGTACCTGAGGATGATGAAGGAGCTTGGGAGGAGAGGAATGGACTGTTAGCAATTGCCGTATGCATGGAATAGTCTCTGAGTTTTACTGAAGAAATTTTAACCCGCTTCCCTCGTCCGAGTTCACTAGATTCAGTAACCGGTGGCCCTTGGAGTTGCATATCTGGCGGACTTGTGGATGCCGAACTATCAGCAGAACCGTCTTCTTGGTTTTCCATAGCTCCATGCTGAGTATTGTTGTTTGTGGTAGGGCCCGCATTGATGTCACTGGAAGTAAAGTATTCTGGCAGATCTTGAACATCCAATATGGGAGTAGAATCCGAGGATGGAGGCACATCCTAGCCTACTTCGGCAGGCACTTGAATAATATCAAAAGATGGTGCAAATGGAAAAATATGCTCAAAGAATTTAACATCTCGAGAGACGAGATACTCCTTTGTATCTAGATCAAACACGGTCCACCCTTTCTTTCCAAATGGGTAGCCAACAAAAATACATTTTCGTGTTCGACTACTAAATTTGTCATTTTTTGATCGCACGTTATATGCATAACATAGACAACAAAAAACCCGTAAATGATCAAAGATTGGCGGTACCCCAAATAAGATTTCGAATGGGGTCTTGTTGTGTAAAATACGTGAGGGCGTTCTATTAATAAGATGAGCAGCCACCAATACGCATTCGCCCCAAAAAGAAATAGGAAGATGAGATTGAAAACGTAAAGCACGAGCTACAGTTAAAATGTGTCTGTGTTTACGCTCAACCCGTCCGTTTTGCTGAGGCATTCCCACACAAGATGTCTGGGAAATAATTCCTTGTTCACAGAAAAATGGCTTCATTCCATTAAACTCTGTACCATTATCGTTGCGCACCGGTTTAACTTGTTGAGAAAATTGTCTATTAACCAGGGCAAAGAAAGCGGCAAATGTAGGAATTATTTCCTTCTTATCAATAAACAAATAAATCCAAACAGCACGAGAAAAATCATCCACAATAGTCAGGAAATATTTAGCTCCACACGAAGATGGAGTCTCATACGGACCCCATAAATCACAATGAATTAACTCAAAAATTCTTGTGGAAAAACTATTACCTAAAGGAAAAGAGTCATGTGTTTGTTTAGCTTTAAAACACACATCACAAGGCTTAGACAAATGCTGCTTAGAACTACTCACAAACGGCAAACATGTGATAATATTTTCTGAAGGATGTCCCAAACATTGATGCCACATATCAAATTTAGATGCCTGTCCCACGAGAATTGTCCGAGCAACAAAAGGTTCCTGCAAGTAGTAAAGTCCATTCCTCCTCTCACCCGCTCCAATCAGCTTCCTCGAGTGTCGGTCCTATATAGCACAAAAGTTAGTTGTGAATTAAACGAAACAATTTAAGTTGTCATTCAGTTGTGAAACCGATATAAGATTACAATTCAGACGGGAACATAAAGCACACGGTCAAGGGACAAGTTTTCTGTCAAATACACGGAGCCCTCTTATAGAGCTTCCACTGGACAAGGAGGAATATCCTTCATATTACGTAAATAATTCAAGTTTCCTGTGAGATGATTAGAAGCCCCGGAATCAAGTATCCATAAGGAATTGTCAAACTTACCGGACATGCGTTCATTTGTAATTTGAGCGTTACCAAAGGCCAACAAGTGCCTTCCATTAGTCCAGTGTGAAACCTGGTATGGGTGTCGGTGAATTGTCCTTATCTTCAGTCCCCTTTGCTCCGTCAAACCCCTTTGCTCCTGAGCTGCCTGCCTTCGCTGCATGAGCTTTCAAGGTTCCAGATTGTGAATGCATCATTGACATCCCCTGATTTGCAAAGCCCGATTTCACTTGTTTCACCGCAGCACGTGGACGATCCCCCCACCACTTGGGGTAGCCGACGAGTTCAAAACAATGGGCAACGTCATGCCCGGAAAGATGACAATAGGTACATATCATGTCAGACTTATCTGGCTTAGCCATCTTTCCCTTCCCACGCCCTTCAGGACGAGCAGCAAAGCCCACCACATTAGGCTTATCATCCTTCACCTGGGTTATTCCACGCACTCTTTCTTCTTGTGTTACTTGTTGGTACGCACGGTTGAGCGTTGGAAGAGGTGTTTGGGTTAAAAGCTGCGAACGAACTTGTCCGTAAAAATCTGTGTAGAGTCCCATTAAAACTGATAAAAGCGTTCTGCTTCTCTTCATTTTTCAAGGAGCTCATTCAAGTTGCAGGTACACTTGCCACAGTTGCAGCTCAACAACGGCTCATAATCATTCACTTCGTCCCACAAGACTTTCAGTTTAGAATAGTATGTCCCAATAGACATATTTTTTGACTGCTCACATCGTGCCAAATCTGTTTTGACTTGGTATATGCGAGGTCCATCAACGACGGAAAATCGTTCCTTTAAATCACTCCATAATCGGCGAGCATCTTCATATCGAGAAAGAGTATTTTTTTTACCTCCGGTGATATGATGTTCATGATCCAAGACACGATCATCGAATGTAGAGTTTCCCAGTCATCGTTCGTGCAAGGCGGCTTCGGTTTCGTGATAGTTCCATCAACAAGCACAAACTTCCGCCGGGCTTTCAGTGCTAACCGAACAGATGCAACCCAGTCCTCATAATTATTCTCCGTCAAATGAACGGGTGTGATGAAGTCACCCGGCCTGTCTTGAGGCCCCAAGAAGAACGGCGAAGTATGGTCGATTTTTATCTCCGTCGAAACATAGTTTTCTGTTTCGTTATCATCATTTGCCATGGCGTCAAGTTGCGTATCTCAGCCGTATGTCTTTGATACCATGCTATAATTCTAAGGTATATGAACGATACAACAAAAGAGAAGAGTAATTTTGGTGAGTTCTATTCTCAGTGCATCGAGCCTTCTTGGCCGAAATAAATAATAAGGGTTTACAAGATTAGCTCCTATAATTTTGGAGTAGATTTAGAAACAAATAAGAAGACGATCATTATAATAATAATGCTACCAAAAATAATAAACTATGGCCCGTATGGTCCATAATACCCAGCCTAAATCTAAAAAATGTCTATATTTTTAGTGTAAAAACTTTTATGTAATCTCTCTTTCAAAAATATTCTTTGTACCGGCCCAGTCCGGCCCAGTGTCCTGATTCTGCCCCGACAGTAGGGTCAGGGCCTAAGAACAAGTTTTGTCTAGTCTATGTCTGCGTGTTAACAAGAACAACTTAACTTCAAGAAGGATAGCAACACTAAAGATGAGAGCAATGAACTATTGGACTTCTTTTGGAAATTACATTTTCCCAGAAGTTGGACTTCTAGGGAAAAAATTGGTTTCACATTCATTGATGATAACTTATCCCAAATTAGTATCATTTAAGTGCTTGATACCATTTTAACGGTTTGTGGACTCGTGAATCGTCTTTCCGAATCGTCTAGGGAGAATTTTTCAATTACAGCCATGACTTTAAATTTTTCAGGCAATTCCATATCTGCTTCACGGAGAGAATGTAAGATAAGCTCAAATTCTTGTGTTTGTTCTAAAACAGATTTTCCCTCTTTCATGTCGAATCTCAAGAATTTGGAAACAATATACTTTTCCAGACCGTGGTCATCAGTATTATATTTCCTATCCAACTCATCCCAAAGGTCTTTAGCTATTTCATTCCTCTCCGTGGAGGGTGCAATAGACATCAAATAACATGTCGGAGAGTCCCAACAATATCATTCCTTTGGCTATTTCATTCCTCTCACGCCATAAAGTTTGGCGTTCAAGACTTTTGGGATCAGACTCGACAACGGGGGGACACACTGTCATAATTACCGAGAGCAAACCCTTGGTGATTAACCAAATTTTCATGCGTTGTTGCCAACGCTTGAAAAAATGCCCAGAAAATTTTTCAGGCATTCCGGTCAAATCAACCCTGTGAGAGCCCGTGGCAACAAATTCAGGTGTGTCTCCAGAATTAGTCACAGACACAGAATTAACATTATTTTCAGGGATTTCATTCACATTATTGTCAACAACAACGTTTTCAGAAGTAGCAGCATTTTCCAAGTTCGTCATATTGGATTTTTTCAAAACTCGAGAAATAATATCTTTCTTCAGATAAAATCCCGATTTTAATCACAAATCACCAGACAAACCACCAAATGCAAGAACAAATAAAATAACAACAATAATTAGATACGAAATATTAATATAAAAGATAGAGAAAGAATGACTTAGCGTAAGATCGCCCGTTAACCGGACTGGCCTTGAAGAAAGATAGCCCCCGTATCTCGATAGCTACTCGAACGGGACTGGCCAACTCGCTCCCAGGATAATCCTACCTCTGTTTCAGTCCTCTAGCTTGCTTGACAGAAACACTTCGACCGTTGCCCGATTTGCCGTAGACTCAAAAAGTAGATATAAGTTTATGGGAAATTATGGATTACTAATGCTCTCGTATGGAAGGCAAGATATTACTTACTTGTGAAAAATGAGTGAAAGAAAGAAGTAATATCTATTCGGGCTCCTCTGTATTACGTAAGAAAAAAGATCGAATAGGAGTATATTGTGGCTTTATTCATACGAAGGTGTTATATTCTGAGAGCATTCATGTGGGTGGATTATTAAAACGGAAATCAAAATAAAATAATTCAAATGGAGTGCGGTCATTGTGCATCCACCACCCAAAAAGTTAGGATCCTCAAACAATATTGACCAAGCTTCACAGCTTATACATCGGGCAGTTCAAAGTTTCAATTTTGAAACTTCCGAAATAAGCTGGGTGGCACACGTACTGCTTATTTATCATTATAAAATGATAAATAAAACATATTAGAATATTTGTTCTAAAATCAAATGGTCCACTAGCTTGAAATTACGACTCAAACATCCTTATCCGCCGTTCATTTAATTTTATCTATACGAATAAGTGATACTGATGGAATAATTTCTAAGCCACTTTATATGATACTTGAATAACATTCCTTTATCATTTAATATCTAAACAAGACCAATCATTTTATAAATAGAACAAAAATTCTCAATACATCACTTTTACAATCTTTACAACTATGGATTTTAATCATTAAATGATATAAATCCAAACGTGAAAAATTGTTCTTTGATGTATAATAAGCCACACTCAATTCATATTTTATACATATTATTTTAGAACTCTAAGAGAACTAAAAACAATAACATTTATATCATCATTTTTCCAACAGTTTCCATGTATTTATATCATTATTTTCATCAGATTGGTGTTGCATTGCATCTTATTTCATATAATAAGATAATGCATATACTTTGTCTAAAAAAATGCATTTAAGATACTCCGTACATATTTTGTCTGAAAAATTAACATGCTTAAGGGACTGCAGCTGGGACCAAATACACGTACCAATGATTTCATGAATAAAAAATTGAAATTGTAATATTGCAATTTACTCCATATGTTATTAATCTTGTCCACTATCAAGTCATTGTATGCATGTGAGAGTTGGAATAAGATTTTTGTGTTAAATACTCTTTTTCACTAACATGTCAGAACTTAAAAGTGTAGCATGTGGGTTACTAAAAAATGTGTAAATATTTTTGTAGCATTTTTTTATTAGATTCTGTAAACAGTATCTGGTTAATCTAAATTTCGGCCTTTTTGAACTCTCTCATGCTTTCCAATGATTAATCTAAATTTCGTGAACTATAGTTGTTGAATTGGGATTTTACAGTTTCTTTTTCAACATACGGTTCCCTGTGGCTAATTCCAGTAGTTATCGTCCTATCTTGAAGCTGAAAGCCTGAAAATTTTGAAATCATGATTGCATTGTTAGGAGAACGAACCATCTCACAAAGTTTCTGCACACGAGAAGAGGAGTGGAAGTCCTATAATTGCTGCTATAGAAAATCGAGATGCCAAGAGGCGGTCGATTGGACTGGCAGAGGATTCTTCAACCATGCTTGCTGAATCTCCTGAGTTTACAAAGCTTGATCCTCCTCCTCCTTGTGCCTTGGACCCGAGCAAAAGTCCGGCTCCTAGAATTCGCCGAACGAAACAACAACTGAAAGTCTCTCTTTCCTACTGTTTTTCTCAGCTGAAAGTTTTTAATTAATCAGCGACTAAAATAAAGAATTACTTTGCTAATGATTTAGGACATGGGTTCAATACTTGGATGTATTGATGATGAAGATCACGGATTGGAGACCTTTATTTATTGCATGACTAATGTGAATGATACAAAAGTGAGCAAGCTTTAAATGATTCTTTAGAAACACCTTTGATACCTTGCAATGTATCCTTCAAGCTTATTGTTGTTGTTGTCGTTGTTGTTATTGTTCTATCGCACATTCAGGCTGCAGAGGATGTGCTGATAGCTTCAGGATATGAAAAGGGCTCTAAAGAGTATATGGTGCGATATAATTGTGTTTTTAGATGAGGGAGGGGGTAAGGTTATGTGCAAGTTACTTACTAATTTCATATGATGGAAAATATTGTTGCAGTTGATGCAGAATCAACGGTCATATGGACTCACTGTGAAAAGAAAGAACCGGATGGCAGATATTAGCGGGGGCGTGCGTGTGGAAGCTGTATTGAATGAAGATGGCAGATATGTATTTGGTAAGGTGCAAAAGTACCGGATGGGTTGATGGTAGAGTATCCCTTGCTCCCTTCTAATTGGTACTCCAATGACTGCTTTACCGGTGATGGAACTGTTTTGGGAATTGGGCAGTCTATTGCCATATCTGTATGAGTATTACTTATTCTGATTATTCCATTTTTGAGTAAGTTGATGTGCATGTTTTGGTTAATTACTCTCTCTATATTACTCCGCAGTATAGAAAAGACACACTCTCTTATGTGGGAAATGGACTCTTATTAATATGGAGTCATGTACACTAAAAGCATAAAAGTTACAAGGAGATTGTGTACAGACATAGCCCCGTTTGGATAGTAACAGTTTGAACAATCCGCTGATTGTTTTGAATCGCAAAGCGCTGCATTTTGCAGCGTTTAGGTAGCAATCCGCTGAAAAACAAAGGGGAACCTAGTTATTATTGGAAAACATTTCGTCAAAATATATGTAAAAAACACAATATTTTTCAATATTTTATTTAACTCACATCCGGGTTGAATTTTAAGCTGAGATTTAGTGGATATAAACACTTTATGTAGAAGAACATGCTCTCAAAATCTCATCAAAATATGCTACCCGGAAGCACCTCAAATGGAGGTGGTCAGATGGCGTTAGGCCTGGACTCGGGCCGGGCGGCCCGACCCGGAACCGGCCCGGCCCGGCCACTGTAGCAACCGGCCCGGCCCGGTGGCCCGGTCCACCGGCGGTTCGGGTCGAACCGGCCCGGTGGTTCCCGGTTCCGGGCCCGGGCCTTCCATATGGTGAACCGGCCCGGCCGGTTCGGGCCCGGTCCGGGCCGGAATTAATTTTTTTTTTTTTTGAAAATTTTTTATGTTTTGGGTTAGATTAGGTATTTTGGTCCATTTGAGATGGTTTGGGGTGGTTTGGGGTTGAGAAAGAGGGGTAGGGGATTAAATAAAGAAGCCAAAAAAAAAAAAAATTAATAGGGCGGGTGGTCCGGCCCGGAACCGGCCCGGTCTGGCCCGGAACCGGCCCGGAACCGGCCACCCCCGGTTCGGGCTCGGGCCTATATATACTGAACCGAGGCCCGGCCGGGCCCAGGCCCGAGGCCCGAACCGGCCCGGTTCAGTCCACCCCTAGATGGCGTTCTAGGCTAAAAATTCCTGTCACAAATACTTGGCTTGCATAATATACCTTATGTATTTGGAACCAGGACAATCAGAGTAATTGTAATTTTACTACTTTGGTCCATTTTTATATTTATTTTTTGTTTGTAATTGTATTTGTTATTTTAGTTCACCTAAAAAGGGAATTAATATTTTGCTGATTACGTTGTTATTTGTTCATAGTAAATTACTAATATTACTAGTCAGTTTATTTAATTACTAAAATTACTAAATGTACCCTCAAAGTTAGTCACCCATAACCCACTGTGAAGTGTTTTTTTGTCTGTGAACCCGGTTCACAGACAATATTTTGTTTGTGCAAAAAATTGTCTGTGAATCGAGGTTCACAGAAAAAAAACACTCCACAAACATAGGCAGGTACAAAAGTCGGTGTAAGAGTGGGTACAAACATTAATTTTGTAGGGGTGGATTCGGGTCGGGCCACCCGGCCCGGGACTGGCCCGGCCCGGGACCGGCCCGGGACTGGCCCGGCCCGGGACCGGCCCGGGACTGGCCCGGCCCGGGACCGGCCCGTGACTGGCCCGGCCCGGGACTGGCCCGGCCCGGGACCGGCCCGGGACTGGCCCGGCCCGGGACCGGCCCGGGACTGGCCCGGCCCGGGACCGGCCCGGGACTGGCCCGGCCCGGGACTGGCCCGGCCCGGGACTGGCCCGGCCCGGCCCGTTACTGTGTGGGACCGGGACCGGCCCGGTTCTCGCCTTCTCGGGTCCGGGTCGGGCCTAGGCCCGGGGAGAGGGCGGGTCCGGGCTCGGGTCGTGCCTATTTTTTTTAATTTTTTTTTTCAATTTTTTTTAACTTTTTCGGTTGGGCTGGGTATTTTGGGGTGGTTTGTGGGTGAGGGGGGAGGGGCTGGGGGTTGGGGGTTAACTAGGAAAAGGAAAAAAAATTGCAAGAACCCGAGGCCCAGCCCGACCCGGGGATTACCCGGGCCGGTCCCGGGCCCCCCATTCTTGAACCGCCGACCCGGCCTGGGCCCGAACCGGCCCGGCCCGGGCCCGAACCGGCCCGGCTCCAACCCTATAATTTTGAATTAAAGATACCATGAGGGCCGATTCCCACGAGTAGGGATGTGAATATGTGATTATGAAAGTTTCAGGCTTTTCAGCTACTATAGGTGTGCCGCCACCTATTAATTCTTTATCGTGTTTGATTGTCTTTCTCTATAAACTTAATTCTCGACAATGTTCCTCCTCCTCCTGTAAACTTTCTCTAGCGTATCTTGTGTCTTCAACCTCATGTGTTGGCTTTTGTTCCTTCTCATACGGTTAAATTAGATACTTGATGTATTTTTATTTGCTCTTGATTTAATTAAGTGTATGTGAATTGCAATTCACAGGTTGTGAATATGAAAGATATTTATTCCTTTTCATTTCACATCTGCATTTTGGAATTTATCCCTCTCCATAAACTTGCGAATTTGCTCATATTAGTCATATGCGAAGCCCAACTGTCACGGGCTGACCGGGTCTTGGATTAGTGACGGTCGAAACCCATATTCAAAAACGAAAATTAATATTACCTCTCTCTTTATAAAATTGTCAAAGTTGATTGACACGTGGAAAAATAAAATAAAAAACCTATATTGAGATTTGGGAAGAAGTGAGAATTCACAAAAATCACTAATTTTCAATTTAAAATAGAAAGTACACGTAATAAAGTTAGTTAGACAATTAAAGAAGGAAAACTAAAAAGTAGAGAGTACTACATACAATAAGGCTTAGGGTATATTTGACACAACTAGCTGAAAACATATTTTTGTAGTTTTTAGTGACTGAAAAGATCTTAAAAATAAAAGGTAGTAGCTTTTTGGTAAAAAGCTGACTGTTTGATTTAGTTTTGTTTGGTATACAAGCTGTTTGAATTAATCAATGGTAAAAGTCACAAAAT